TTTATCATAGGAAGTTATATGCAAATCTGAACCTTCTTATTTGTCTTTTCCTCCGTTTTCCTCCTCCACTGCTCAATTGAGTCAATTTTTTGTGCATGGTAAGATAATCACTTTTTGATCCTAGTAACTTCTCACAAATTAAACCATATCATGGCTCTTCCTAAATTTCTAACTTCTCACAATTCATGTAGAGCTTTACTGTTCACATTTCTTTTTGTAACAAAAAAATGGCCTTCAAAGAACATGGCTACCTCCTTTGCCACAATCAAAGCACACAAACTAATCAAAAGCACTAGATAAGAACTTTTTTTTCAAATAAAAGAAGTATAGTTGTATTGATGTGAGGTGCTAAGGGAGCACCACTCATTTACAGAAAATTTACATATCAATAAACATATATACAATGGAATCTAAATTTTAAAAACAGTTAATTATGCTCTAAAACAGTAGAACCAAAATAATAAAACCATTTATCTTTGATCTATTAAAATCTTGTTCGACCCCCTCAAAAACTCTATTGTTTCTCTCCTTCAAAATGACCCAGAATATGGTAAGAGAAATCAGTCTAAATGCTTTGTTACTGCTCAAACCTTCCCAAGCCAAAAGTTCAAAGTAGACCGTATAAGAGCCAAAAGCACCAGATAAGAACTGAGAAACTGATAACATTTTAAAGTTTTTAGTGATGCTTTTACAAAAGCTATTATTGAAGTATGTAAAAAAAATTGGTAATTCAGTAACCATCCACTTAATGTAGTTATTACCATACCACAACAAGCACCCATAGTGACAAGTCCAACACGGATAAAAACAATCTTTGCTTTATAAATCAGACACACTATCTCTATAATACTGGATCCTGAAATCTTAATTTCCAAGCATTACCCACCAATAAACCATGGCAATGCAAATCCTTCACCTTTCTTCCCTTTGAACTTAGAGTAAGTGAGGGGTCTAGTTAGTTAGCAGAAGACCACCAGAGCCAAGTATGTGTTGTTTTAGTTATAAGAAAACATGTGACTCATTCCTACGTCAGCAGATACCAAATCGAGCAGACTCATCACACATTACCTGCCAGGTTGGAAATTCTTGTGCCAGCCTGCGAGCAAAAGTA